TTAGGTAGTAGAGCTTTCCATGCCGATGCACCAAAAATAAAGGCAGATCAATTTAAATAAGTGAATCCAGCTAAAATTTGTTTAAAAAAAAATAACGACTTTTTACAGGTCATTTTGCTATTGGACAATCATAAGGCTGTAATCGATTTTAATGTTACAATCACAGAATCTTAAAAATCTCACAAACTGAAATGGCCTTAAATATCAACATCCAGCCTAGCTACTTATCCAATGTTCAATGTTTCTCTAAAACATTTCTGCCAAGTCTGAGTGGCTCTAGTAATAGGGACTTCACTACCTCCCTTTCTACTCAACTGTATTTTGTCAGATCTCTATGAGAAAGTTCTTAATTTGGAGCCAAAAATCTTTCCCTGTAGCTTCTATTCATTAGTCCTGGTTTCAATTGTGGTACCAAGTCAAAGTCTACTTTCTGAGCTCCATTACACTTTTTTCAAAAATTTGAAGACAACTATCAATTATCTCAGGCCTTTCAGCTCTTCCTAATGTGGCATGATTATAGTTACTTATATCATTCTTATTTTTCTTTCCTGAAAATACTGACTAGAAGTGCAGAAATCCCTATTACTTTTGCTTTAAATCATCCTAGTAAGAAAATCAATATACTTAACATGGAATTATTAAAATAGAAACACTAACTTCTTTCTTAAGTATTACACATGTACAGACACATTCATTTGTGTCATTATTACAATATCTAATATTTTTCTAAATGCACTCTGCTAAGCTATTTAAATCCATTCTATTCTTTCACAGTGATGTATGGAACAAAGTATAATTTATATTTCAATCTTATTAAACCTAGCCTGTCACATTAGCCCTTCTGGATCATAATGGTTTCCTAATTCTGCCTAACATATTCACTACATATCCCAAAATCAAATATCCTCATTTTGGATGAGTATTTCCTTTGTAAAATTTTATTTTACTCATTGGTAAAGTATATTTAATGATGAGACCAAAATTCTACCAGGTAACATAATCCAGAATGAAGATGCCCCACTAATCACATACTTGTCAACATACAGCTTTCTTTATATTGAGATTATATTTCTAAATATTATTCATAAGGATCATGAGTTACTTTTAAGTGACTTAACAAAAACCAGATATAATGACTTAACAACAGGTAGTCAAAGATCTTTTGGTTTTAAAGCCTTTTTGGGGGAGGAATACTAGGGATTTAATCCAGGGACACTTTACCACTGAGCTACAAATCCAGCCCGTTTTATATTTTAATTTGAGACAGGGTTTCGCTAAGTTGCTTAGGTCCTTGCTCAATTGCTAAAGCTGTCCTCAAACTTGCAATCCTCCTGTTTCAGCCTCCACAGTTGATGAATTACAGGTATACCTCACCATGCCTGGAGGTCTTCAGGTTTTTACTGAGCCTTTAAACAAATTTTATTAGATGTATATTTTGTGTCAGGCACTACACTGTTCTTTGGTGATTAAGACAAATAAGACGCTGATGCTAAGGAATTTAAAATCTAATGGGGAAAACAGACAATTACAACTTATGATTACCATAAAATACTATAAACATGAGAGGAAATCAGAGAACTTTGGAGGTATAGAATGTGATTACCTAAATCACACTATCAAAAATTAGGAAAGGGGACTGAAGGTTAGCACAATGGTACCGCACTTATACAGCATATATGAGGCCCTGAGTTTAATCCGCCAGTACCTCAAATTAAAAACAAACAAAAAACAATTAGGAAAAGTTTTCCAAAGGAGGCAACAGAGTTCAAGTTTGAGTCTGAGGTCATAATGAGACAGTCAGATTAACATGTTGGATGTAATGTAGTAGGTCCTTAGAGAGCTCTGGGCTGGACATATAGGCTTAGGAATCAATAGTGAATAAATCACAGTAATAACCATGAACTTGAATTTGGAAAAGACCACTGAGGCAAGAGAAAGAGGCAAAGCACTGGTACAACAAAGAACAATGGGAGATGTAAAATATCAAAATAGACAAGACATGGCTCATGTGTATGCTTCATAAGACAGGGGCCAGGATAGAGGAGATACTATTGTATCTCAGATACCAGATCAAGAGCCTTGTGAGTGGAGCCAAGAAATCTGAACCTCATCCAGAAAGCTATGCAGTCGCTTTACGGATCTCAACATTGGAATAGCCTAAGTAGATTTAAGATTTGGGAAATATGCTGCAGAGTCAGGTTGGGATATGAGTTTAATGGAAGAAAATAAGAAGCACAGAGACTAAAAAAGGGTCCACCAAAGAGGGTGGAAAGTAGTAATTAAAGCAATGTGTACACGGAAATGGAAATGAAGGAGATTTCAGAGATGGTAAAGATTCTGCATTTGGGCTGGGGTTGTGGCTCAGTGGTAGAGTACTTGTCTGGCAAGTGTGAGGCACTGGGTTTGATCCTCAGCACCATATAAAAATAAATAAATAAAATAAAGCTATTGGATCCATCTAAAACTTAAAAAAAAAAAGACTCTGGATTGACAACTCTGCATGACTGCTAAATTTGAGAAGCTTGAATACAAAGAGAAGGTCTATAGTGATCCCCAGGATTTTAGTTTAGATGGCAAAGGCAGGAGGGTGCCATTTTGTAAGAAAGGGACTATTATGTTAGGAGTGGTGAGGAAGAGTTTTGAATTCACACTTGTTCACGTTGAATTCAAGGTCATGATAGTCAGGATAAACAGGTGTAACACTCTTCAGAGAGATCTAGACACAGAGACTTAGGAGTTAACAGGAAATTATGGCAGTTTCAGCTATGAATTTGGACAAAGTCACTGAGGTAGAAGAGAAAAGCAGAGGAAAGACCAATGTTACTAAAGTCAACATCAACTTCAAGCTGAAAATAAAAAAGTAATGGTACCCAAGGAGTTATGTAAAATATATTTACAAATTTAAATTTTCTTATTTGTTAATCCATATTAATTTTCTAAAACTTTGGAAGTAAATTTATCACTTATTTTATCAAGCCTAGTATTGCTGCTTCACTTACATATCAAAAAAAAATAACATCAATTTATGCTTTTCTAGTGCTCCAAAACAATATGGGTTTAAAAAGTAAATTTAAAAAGCCAGGACAGTTTCTGATCTGACTCAAACTCTCTCTCTCTCTCTCTCTCTCTCTCTCTCTCTCTCTCTCTCTCACACACACACACACACACACACACACACACACATAGTCCATTTGTATATGTAAGTCTCACTGTTGTAAGATACATGGTAATTCTAAGACTTGCTGTTACAATTTTCATAAAAATCCAATCATGACTTTTGATTTAGGCAGGGGACAGGGAGGAGAACAGAGCCCTGTCATCTTCATCACATAGGGAAACCTGACTGACCTAAGAGGACTTAAGTACACACATGGAATCATCATGATAACAAAGCATTTACCAGAGTTGGTGTCAGTATGTCAGCCTTAATCAAAAAAAGGTTACTTTAAAGAATCTCTAACATGAACATGTGTCCTTTAACTAGGGAAGAGTTATACCTGACAACATCCACTTCCCTCAAATGTTCATCTCTTGGTTATGGCACAAAAACTGCAACAGTGAAGGAGGGTAATGGTTGCAAACTGTGGTTAACCCTGAACCTGCCGCCACTATCCCCAACTGATACTCAACTGGGCAGATGGCCAAGGACGGACGTGTATAACTCAGGGACATGATGTCAGACATCTAAAAATTTGGCCCTGACATCATACTGTTAAATAAATAGAAGTATCAAAGGTGAAATTCAGGAAATATCCTTTAATAAAGAGCTCTGCTAAATGCTAGGCTTTATGTCTCCATGATGCTGACTCCAGATTCTTAATCTCATATAACTACATAAATACTAATCGCAGAATACCAATACCAATGTGCCTTCTTTACAAAATATACTTCCCCAAATATACTCTAATTTTTTGTTTGTTTGTTTTGGGGTACTAAGGATTGAACCCAGGGGCACTTAACCACTGAGCAACAGAGCAACATCCCCATCCCTTCTATTTTTATTTTGATACAAGGTTTCATTAAATTGCTTATGGCCACAGGAAGTTGCTGAGACTGGCCTGGAACTTGTGATACTCCTGCCCCAGCCTCCCAAATTCCTGTAATGAGAGGAGTGTGTGACCACACCCAACACCCTAATGCTTCCTACAGAACATCAATAAAAGTATAATAGAAAATATTTAAGTAATAATGATGCTGCAATAAAAAGTTGTCTATGATCAATGTAACATTTAAGAAATCTTAATTGAAAAATGACCTGTAATAGCAAATTAATTTCTATTCCAGATCACTGCACATGTTGCATTAGTTGTGAAAAACACATTACATTTTGTGAAAGTTATTTATGTATATCCTGTTCAACTGTTCTAACTAGTGAATAATATCTGCCTTTATTAATCAGTAATATTAGCTTTCTCTATAAAAGTAGAGTCTAAAATGCAAAATATTGTCTTTTGTAGGGTTGGATTTATATGGTAAATGAAGTAACATCACATTTAATGACAAGCTTTTTGGAAAATATCCTAATTTCCTAATATTTCATTGCCTTTACTAAAATAGAAACTTCATTTACCATATAAATTTTCTTCTTTCATATATTAATATAAACTAAAAGGATTTTGAAATCATAGATTGGCTATCTGATTTTTAAGGAACACGCATTTTAAAATATGTTTAAGTATTTTTAAATCACCTTTTTAAATTAGTGCTTATCAAAACATGAGATCTCAGTATCTAGTTTAAGTTGCACACATAACATAAGAAAGCAATAGTAAATTTTTTCTTACTAAAGGACATATAAAAATTATATAAATTCATGGCACCAACGAAACTTTATAAAATTTTAACACAGAGAATTAGGTATCACATTCTAAACCTCATTTCACACTGTCATTTTTTCATATGAAAAGTTTGGCAGACGTGTATTTTAATAAACCACCTTGCTCTTATCACAAATGCATTAAAATGTCTTTATGTAAGAATATAAGACATGAAGAACATACGATGGGCATAGGTACTGCTTCTTTTTCCCCTTTCCTTTCTTTGAAGACTTTTCTTTAGAATAGACTTCTTCAACCCACAAGGAAATTAAAATAAAAAAGGCTATTGCCAATAAAAACTTCATCTTGAAAGGTTAATTTCAGGAGCTGGATCTATAAAAGAACAAGAAAATGTTTACATTTATAAAGCAAATGATAAATATATAATTGTCCCCTTAAGAATTATGATCCTTAGTACCCACAGGGCAAATACATTTGTATATCAAATCCTCATTGTTCAATCCCACATGGTTACATATCACTCTATATTTAAAGTCTCTTTTATATGGTAGTAGTAAAGTCTGTTTTTATATAGTAGTAAAAGTCAGTTGAAATAATGATATATACAAAATAAGATTCCAATGAGGTATAATAGGTTACTATGTAAAATTTCCACTCTAGGGTTATATAAAATTGTAAACTGATATTGAATTGAACAGTATATAAAAAATGTTTAAGAAGATACCTAGGAGGATGCCTGACAACATTAAAATGGTTATTTCTGATTAGTACCTTTGAGGTAATTTTTGTTTTCTTTAAAAATGTCTATGTTGTTTGGATTTTGTATGTAAAGTTTTCAAAAACAATAAAAGTATTTTAATTCTAAGTATTAAACAACTGAGATAAAGGAAAAAATTAGTATCAAAGTTTCCTACTCTAAGTTCATTGTGTTTTTAGTTATACACATGAAATTTGCAAGCTATATTTACCCCCAAAACAGTACATATTAGTTTGTTAGCTTTCCAGAACTCTTATGGGATACGAACATTCATCATCAAAAAGATTTCTCTAGAAATTGGAGGTAACATTACATGAAAGAATACAGCAAGTGTGGTTACACTCTTCAAATAATCTTTTTAGCTACATTTTAATAAAGTGTTAATGCTCGAATGAGAGTTAAATTCTTCCTAGTCTAATGCATCAAAACAAACAAACAAAAAACTTTAAGCATCTATTAACATTGGAATAGTTGAACCTCTTTTAGATTCTTCATTGTCAAATCATAAATTGTTCTCTCTCATTGTTTTCCGAAGAGTACAAGACTTGTCAGGTTCCTGAACACTAACTTAATTTCCATCTCACCCTCATAAATCTGCATCTTCTATGTCATGTTTTTCAACTCTTTTTCCCAGGATTTTTTTTTTCCTCTTCCAATGCAGTCCAGAAGGGCATCTCCCTAAGTCCTTACACCTAACACAACTGAAGGACCTGGTGAGACCCACAGCAACTGATGGCTCTAAGTCAACGTATAGCCTTGAGTGCTCCCTTCCCCCATCCTACCCCAAGCATCTGCTTCCAGTCACTTTTGCCCCAGCAGCAGGTACTTGTCCACATCTTTCCCCCAAGAAAATGGTTCAAAGGGGAAGCAAGAGAAAAATTCCACACTGCTCTCAGGTTTCCTTCTGTCTTTCAAAAGAGACAGCGGCAATGACTGAAGGAATCCTCACAAATATAACTCCACCAGGAGCCCACCCCGCCAATCTTGCGTTCCCTAATTATCCGCGGCCCTCTGCGCACCTTCTTCCCCAGCGTCCGGGTGGACGCCAACGCATCGGCGACGCGGCTGCAGCGGCCCTGGGCCCTGTGCCCCCCTCGGCTGGGCAGGCAGCGCTCTCCGCCTCCCGCTGCACGCCGCAGTGCTCCCCGCGCCCCCGCCACCCCAGGCTGGACCCGCTCTTTCCGCAGAGGCGTTAACTCCTGTTCCCAGACCCTCCGCTGCTGTCCCTGCCCATCCTCTCCTGCACCTCCCTCCTGGGTGAAGCCCCCGGCCCTTACCCGAGGCTTCCCGCCCGCAGCCGCCAGGCGAGATCGCGGCTGCCCGGGGCCGAGGTAGCGGTGGCGGCCGGGGTGCAGCGGGCGCAGAGCGGGGTCAGCTGCGTCCCCGCCGCCCGCGCGACCGCTGAGCTCGGCTGACGCGCCTGCTCGGGCCGCGGAGCGTGCGCTGTGGCGCGCGGCTGTCGGGACCGCTGCGGGGACCACGGGGGCCGCGCTGAAGCAGCACCGTGACGCGGGAGGGAAGAGGTATCCCGAACGCGCCAGGAAGGACGCGACACCTCCCCTCCGAGAGCCCTGGGGGGTTCTAAGCAGAGCGATTTTGTCGCTGCGCGTTTTAAGGGACTAAATAGGGTAGGGAGGGATAACCAGGAGGACAATGTTGGAACAAAAAGGAAAATAGTAATAATAATGATCCCTTTCTTGGGACTGGAATTATTTAAGGTCAGTTTTTGACCACTAGCAGGAAAAAGCACGATAGAATACAAACGACCTTCTTGGACCAAAAGGGCAAAGTAGTTTGTGTGATTTCATATTTGCCTGGAATCCTGGCATCTAAATCTCAGAGTGATGGCTCCAATTACGAAAGCTTAAATTGATCAGAATTACTGGCACAATATAGCTATACGGGTAAAATTGCTTTTAAAATTTGTTACATAATTAGCAATTGTACCTAGCTTGGCGGTTTGAGAACATTGTTCACCCTTATTATCACATTTGGCCCAAAGGGTGGTCCTGGGCAAGTTTTTTGCCCCTTTTCCCATTTTACAGATGAATAAACCGAAGCTCAGAAATACTGAGAGACTGACTTAAGGTTAAAATCTTGAAAAGAATTTACCAGAAACTCGAGTTATTTTTACTCATCTGGACCAGGTATTATCTTTACCAACAGCAAGATGCTGTTGTATTCATCGCTATTTAGGAAGTAGCCCTTGCCAGGTGTGATAGTGCTGGCTATAATCCCAGCATCACAGGAGTCTGAGGCTGGATGATTGCAAATTCCAGGCCAGCCTGGGCAATTTAGGAAGCCCTTCTCAAAAAAAAAAAAAAAAAAAAAAATTGCTCTCAGTAGTAGAGCATCCCTGGGTTGTATCTGCAGTACCACAAAAATAAACAAAATAGTCTTATTTGGATATAAAACTCTTGGATAACAGACATGGTTTTCCTATAAACTTGTAAATATATGTAAAATTGATTTTTTAAGAAAGCATTGTCTCAAGTAAGCATTGCTTAGCATTGTTTTGTAGACCTACTAATGTACCCACTAATAAATGTTTTGACCCATTGCATATGAGAAAGAATAGCCATGTTCTATAAGATTTACAAAATAATTATTCTACATGAGAGTAATGGTCATTAAGAAGTGGTCATTATTTACATTACTAAGTGGTCATTATTTTATTTGAAAAACTGTACAATCTGGAGTCCTCCAAATTGGATCAGGATAGGAGTTTGAATTCTAGAATGATGTTGATAACATAAATTGCATAAGATATAACTTTTGGAGAACAAGCCAAATAAGAAAGAATATGGTAGCTTTCATGCAACCACATGGGTTCAGAAGCTAAAGAAATCTTTAAACCTAGTTTTCAAGTAATCAAGGAATTATTAAGTGTTGGAAATAATAAGATGTTTGGATTCCTGTAATATAATAGACTTATCTTTTATGTACAAAATCTTATGGAAACATTTGAAAGAACAGAACGTCTATGCTGGAAACCTCTATGGTCGACTTGCTCACTCTCTCCATTATTGGCTCCAGCTCTGCAACCTTGGAGGATTATAGTGGGCAATGAGATTATTCATAAGAAAAGCATATCCAACTCAGGATGGGTCTATGAGTTGTTTTGCCCAAAGGTTGGTAAATATAGTTGGTGACCTACTAGAATCCTACAAGAATTTCTTATAGGCCATCAAGCAGTCACAGTCATAATTTTGAACATATTTTTTTCTATGAAGATGATCTGCTTACCTATATTTATTGTCATGGAGTGCAGGACAGTTTATTCAGGGCTAAGCAGAGTGGTAGATGAGGGGATGGAGAAAAGACAATAGAAACAAAAATAGATAAAAAGCCAGGGCTCTGTGGTTTAGCTGAAGATTTTAGATGAAGGGACACTGACCACAAGCAAGCTCCGCATATTTACTATATGCATGCAAACGTCAAAAGGATTTATTGTGAGAAAATTTCTTCAAAGCATTCAGAATGAAGGATAAACTTCTATGCAGCCCAATTATAATTATCAGCTTACACCCATAAGTCTCTACCCTTGGGCAGCTGGCATTTGAACTTGGGGTCAAGAACTGATAAAATTCTGAAGCTGGCACCGATTTTTCCTTTGAACAGGGCATTCCCTTAGCAACTGGGCAATCTTTGATTGGTGCTTTCACATGGAGAGTTCTCCAGAGGGGCATCACCTCTGCCACAGGAGAGTTCAAGACCCATAATTCAGTCGCTGCTCCCAACAATTTATATAGTTGTTTTGCAGTATAATGTAAAAGGGTAAGCTTCTAAAGCAATGCCATGAAATAATGTTTTCCCCAGTCATGTCAAGTACTTTCTTCTAGTTTTTTTTCTCTATATTCACTCTTATTATTTCATCAATTAACATGGTTGTAAATACCATGTTCATGACTCCCAAATTTACTTCTCCAGACCTCTTTCCAGAACTCCAAACTCTGTTTATCAAAATGACTCCTCAGCTTCTAACCTTTCATATTTAATGAATGTATCAAACTCGACATGTCCAAACTGGATCTAAAATTTCTCTAAGTTCAGCTCCTTCTCTGGTTGACTGCAGCTTTATCCTTTGGGTTGGTTGCTTAAGCCAAAAACTGCAAAGCTGTTCAAAATTTCTCTCTTCCTTACACCCAAATCCAAACTGTAAGGAAATCCTGTTCTCTTTCAGACTATATCCAGAATCCAGCTACTACTTACTATTTTTAGTTACCAACCTGAATTGAGCCACCAACTTCTCTAACTTGGGTTTACGCATCAGCATTCTAACTGCTCTCCCTGCCTCATCCATCGCCCTCCTTCATCCGTGAGTTTTCTCAACTCAGCAGCCAGAGTGATCCCTTTTAAACATACCATGTATCCTATCACATCATTCCTCAACTCAAAATACAGCAATGAGTACCTCATTGAGATTATAAATCAAAATGTTTACAATGCTAAAGGAACCAATTGTTCTTTGCCTCCATGAAATAACTGACTTCTTTACTTCTTCCTCCTTCTCCCACCTTATATTATTGGCTCCAACTATTCCCTCTGCCTAAAATGCTTTCTCCTCAGACAACCACATATCTAACTCCCTAACATTTTCAATTTTCTCATTTGTTACCATCTTTAAAAGTGCAGACTCTCTCCTTCATTGGAACATTACTGATCCCCTTTGACCTGCTTTTCTTTTCTCTTTTTTTCACAGTACTTATTGTGTTCTAATATATTATATGCTTTACTCAGCTTTTTCATTGTTGCTACCGAAAATTCTGAGAAGAATAAAGCACAGAGGAAAAGTTTATCTGGGGGATCGTGGTTTCAGAGGTGTCTGTCCATAAATGGTCAAGATCCATAGCTCTGGGCCCAAAGTGAAGCAGAACATCAGGGCAGAAGGGTGTGGGCAGAGGAAGCAGCTCAGAACATGACAATCAGGAAACAGTGAAAGAGCTCAGCTCACCAAAGACAAATTTAAACCTGAAAGGCATGACTACAATGGCCCACCTCTTCCAACCCCCTACCTGCAGTTACTTCCCAGTTAATCCCTATCAGAGGATCAGTGCACTGATTGGGTTAAGGATCTCATAAGCCACTCCTCCAATCATTTCACCTCTAAACTTTCTTGCACTGTCTCACACATGAGCTTTTGGGGAACACCTCATATCAAAATCATAACAATATGGTGTACATATTTCATGTTTGCTGCAACTCTCCTTGCTTAAGCTCAAAGGCAGAGTTTTGCTTATTTGTTTGTCTGTTTGGTTTTTGTCTCTTCTCATTCATTGTTGGTATCCAAGCATCTAGAAAAATATTGAATGAATAGTAAATCTTGGCCTACTAACTTAAATTTCTGAAATTTCATGTTTTCTTATCAGCAAAATGAAAACAACAACAGAAAAATATTTACAGAATTGTTCAAAGGTCTGAAGAGATACACTGATGTTTAATTTCTGGTCCAGAGAAGAAGGACCACAAGGAATTACCTCTTCCATACTTGTTTCTTTCTATTTGCTTAATTGTATATTAAATGTTTGATTGATGGGTCCCTGTTATACATTTCTTTCAAGTTTTTGGTTATTTTCTTGACCTCTATGCTAGAAATATTTTGTATGCTTATCTGAAAACGTTCAATGGAACCCTACTTTCAATGTACACAGACCTAGCTTAAAATATATCAATTTTATTTTACTTGATCATGAATCCTAATTTCAACCCTAAATATCTTGTGTTAGACTAAGAATTCAAATATTAGAGAAAGAAATATTATTCTTACCAAATCATTTGTTCACATGACATAAATACCTATCACTCATGGCTACCTAAGTAGTGATATGTCTGTAACACTTACATCTTAAATATTAATTTCTTCCTTATTTTTCCTTTGTATGAGTTGTGGTTATTCTTTAATGATAGCTTGAGTTGTAATAGTCATTCGTGAAATTTTTTCATTAAAACTTCCATGGATGTAACTATCAGATATTTGTAAGAAAGGCATACCCAGATGTTCTTGATATTTTTCCCAAAATCATCATCTTCAAAAATTTCTCAAAATAGATAATGGGAGTATAAATAATAAAGAGAAGTTTGCAACAGGAAATGAGAAAATAATGGGTTAGTGCAGTCTCTGTTCATACTATTCATGAATTTTAGAAGTTACATTAGGAGATTCTGTATAGACAGTCTTTTTAGAATAATAAAAATAATATTTGATAACCTAAGATCACTTCCATGTTTTCCTGACACAGTATATTATCCTTGAAATATTCTCAAATCTCTTAAATATTTTTAAATCTAAGTTTTAAGCAATAATAGGCACATTTTATCAATTCCTTACTAATTAAAGACTACCTTTTGTGTTATGTTTTAAAAACTTCAAGTTTTTTTGTAAGTGACTT